TGACACCCTTTAAGTGATCAACATTAAGGATATTTAAAGCATGCGTTGATCTTTGATTTACCAATAGTTTTATCCTGTTAAGGAGTAATCCCCCTTTTCTTTCTTTTTTTTTTTTTTTTTTTTTAAATTTTTAATCTACACTTACCTGAAGAATACTATGTTTACTATGCTCTCCCCTATATCAGGTCCCCCCTAACAACCACATTACGGTTACTGTCCATCAGCTTAGCAAAATGTTGTAGAGTCACTACTTGTCCTCTCTGTGTTGTGCAGCCCACCCTCCCCTTTCTCCCTCCCCCCCATGCATGCTAATCTTAATACCCCCCTTCTTCTTCCCCCCCCTTATCCCTCCCTGCCCACCCATCCTCCCCAGTTCCTTTCCCTTTGGTACCTGTTAGTCCATTTTTGGGTTCTGTAATTCTGCTGCTGTTTTGTTCCTTCAGTTTTTCCTTTGTTCCTATACTCCTCAGATGAGTGAAATCATTTGGTATTTCTCTTTCTCCGCTTGGCTTATTTCACTGAGCATAATACTCTCCAGCTCCATCCATGTTGCTGCAAATGGTTGGATTTTTCCACTTCTTATGGCTGAGTAGTATTCCATTGTGTATATGTACCACATCTTCTTTATCCATTCATCTACAGATGGACATTTAGGTTGCTTCCAATTCTTGGCTATTGTAAATAGTGCTGCGATAAACATAGGAGTGCATCTGTCTTTCTCAAACTTGATTGCTGCGTTCTTAGGGTAAATTCCTAGGAGTGGAATTCCTGGGTCAAATGGTAGGTCTGTTTTGAGCATTTTGATGCACCTCCATACTGCTTTCCACAATGGTTGAACTAATTTACATTCCCACCAGCAGTGTAGGAGGGTTCCCCTTTCTCCACAGCCTCGCCAACATTTGTTGTTGTTTGTCTTTTGGATGGCAGCTATCCTTACTGGTGTGAGGTGATACCTCATTGTAGTTTTAATTTGCATTTCTCTGATAATTAGCGATGTGGAGCATCTTTTCATGTGTCTCTTGGCCATCTGTATTTCTTTTTTGGAGAACTGTCTGTTCAGTTCCTCTGCCCATTTTTTAATTGGGTTATTTGTTTTTTGTTTGTTGAGGCGTGTGAGCTCTTTATATATTCTGGACGTCAAGCCTTTATCGGATCTGTCATTTTCAAATATATTCTCCCATACTGTAGGGTTCCTTTTTGTTCTATTGATGGTGTCTTTCGCTGTACAGAAGCTTTTCAGCTTAATGTAGTCCCACTTGCTCATTTTTGCTGTTGTTTTCCTTGCCCGGGGAGATATGTTCAAGAAGAGGTCACTCATGTTTATGTCTAAGAGGTTTTTGCCTATGTTTTTTTCCAAGAGTTTAATGGTTTCATGACTTACATTCAGGTCTTTGATCCATTTTGAGTTTACTTTTGTATATGGGGTTAGACAATGGTCCAGTTTCATTCTCCTACATGTAGCTGTCCAATTTTGCCAACACCATCTGTTGAAGAGACTGTCATTTCCCCATTGTATGTCCATGGCTCCTTTATCAAATATTAATTGACCATATGTGTTTGGGTTAATGTCTGGAGTCGCTAGTCTGTTCCACTGGTCTGTGGCTCTGTTTTTGTGCCAGTACCAAATTGTCTTGATTACTATGGCTTTGTAGTGGAGCTTGAAGTTGGGGAGTGTGATCCCCCCTACTTTATTCTTCTTTTTCAGGATTGCTTTGTCTATTCAGGGTCTTTGGTGTTTCCATATGAATTTTTGAATTATTTGTTCCAGTTCATTGAAGAATGTTGCTGGTAGTTTGATAGGGATTGCATCAAATCTGTATATTGCTTTGGGCAGGATGGCCATTTTGACGATATTAATTCTTCCTAGCCATGAGCATGTGATGAGTTTCCATTTATTAGTGTCCCCTTTAATTTCTCTTAAGAGTGACTTGTAGTTTTCAAAGTCTTTCACTTCTTTGTTTAGATTTATTCCTAGGCATTTTATTCTTTTTGATGCAATTGTAAATGGAATTGTTTTCCTGATTTCTCTTTCTACTGATTCATTGTTAGTGTATAGGAAAGCTACAGATTTCTGTGTGTTAATTTTGTATCCTGCAACTTTGCTGTATTCTGATATAGGGTTCCTCTTCTTGAGACCCTTTTCTTCATCTATAAAGCAAGGGATAAAAATATCCTTCTTATAAAAAGTAAGTAATAGCATGTATAAAAAACTATGAAAATGCCTGGCATGTAATAATCACTCCCATCTTCTACTTCTCACGTAGCATCATCTGCAAGTTCCTAATGCTTTTCCCCCTTTTTCTCTGAAAGATTCTGTTCTGACTGTAGAAGTCCATTAAAAGAGGGCTGGAGGGAGGAAGGAAAAGCAGGTCTCAAAATGAAATGAATGTATACCATCCTATGTTTTCAGGTTTTTCAAGATAAAGTCTTAGTTTGGAAAGGTCCTCTTACTAGAAACACAACTGGTGTTAGAGCGAAAACTTCTCAAGCAGTTTCTTCTCCTTTATTCATCTTGCATTGTGCATACTTTTTAGACTGGAGTTTTATTTCTAAATTTTAGTGCCAAATAATAGGAAGTTTCACATCAATAATATGTGTTTGGTTAAAAGACAATCCTACTTGATGACTGGTTTGTACTGTAATGAAAGTCTCCTTACTTTTCTACAATCTGGAAGGCCCTTCCCATATTTTAATGTAGACAGTGACCTTTCCAGTAATTCAGTGCATGTTTTCTTGGAGCTCCCCTAATTTGGCATGTGTATAAGAGAAAACTCAGAGTAACAGGCCAAGGAATCTTCTAAGGATCATATAGTAGTTTTTTTTAATTACAAAAGGAAATAAACATAATTAAAGGTAGTTTATAGAGATAAATCAAATATAGTAATACAAATCAGGAGAAGCGGAGGGAATAAGAGGGAGACTGAAATGCAGTCAACACAAAACCAGCCCTACCTGGAGCCTGGGACCTTTTCTCTACACAGCCACAGATTTGGCTCCAAGCCCTGTAGCAGTGAGTTCAAGGAGCTTTTGAGTAACTCTCTTAGAGATCACAAGATAAAAGCAAAGAAATTGCTTAGTAGAACAAATATTCACAGACATTCTAATGCTGAAACTTTACTCTTTCTACTGTATAGTTCTCTTTTATTTACCATTTTTTTGGACTCCACTAAGCTTTAGGTTAAAAATCTTTAAATTTTGGTTCAGTCACAACTTGCCACTTGGTCTGATTATTAAGGCCCTTTGCCAGCTTCTCAGGTTCTGTAGATATCTCAGTGGCATAAAGAGACAGATGTTGAGGAGACATTAATTTCTGTGGTGGAAAGATGAGTGCCCAAGAAGTCTTTAAAAAATAATAATATTTCAAATATGATTTAAAGAGATTCTGTCTTTTCTACAAGGAGTACTTTTTAGAAAATACAGAATACCCAGGCTGCTCAAACACAGCCCTGAAGTTGGTTCATAGTCACCAGTTTCTAATTCCCTCTCTTTTCAGTTGATCTTATTTGGTGTGCTTTGCTATTTGCTAGATAGTTCCTCAATAAATATTTGTTGCTCTACAGCATGGGAAATATATGGGATGTTGAGATAGAAGTATTTGCATTTGAATCCACACAGATAGAAATATTCAGCCTAAAATGTAGACAAGGCAGACCAAACCAGAAGATTCCAAGGTCAAGATCAAGAGCTTAAAATCCAGATGCAGCTCCTCTACCCTCCACCTTAAGAAAAAGTTAGGCCAGGGATGTTTGGCTGGGTGGGCAGGGGAGCACGTTCTATCAGGGTATGAACCAGCCCTTGCGCTTGGCTCCCTGCTCTCCCAGGTAAGGTGCAACTTCACTTTTATGAATTTAAGTGAGTCTAGAGGTAGAGCAAATAAGGATCCTTCCAATTGGTCCTGGGATGTATTCAGTGGTTTATGCGCAATGTGAACCTTACCTTTAAAAGTTGTCTGTTTCATCAGTGGTGATGGGAGTATAAATTGTTGCAGACTTTTTGGAGGGCAGTTTGGCAATACACATCGAAATATAAAATGTGCGGACACTTAGCCAGCAATTGTATGAGTCTAGCCAACAGAAATACTTACACAAGAGCACAAACAGGCATGTGCAAGGAGTTGACCATCTCATCACTTGTAATAGGGACAGTCGGAAACCTAAATGCCTGTGAGTAGGGAGTGTAAAATCACAGTGCTTCTGTGCTGTGATGTCTTGTGCAGTTGTTAAGAAGAATGAGGAATTGCTCTGTAGAGGGGCAGAGTATGGAGGAGCATAGGCTAACCTGCTTGTTTCCTCTGGGTGTAAGAATGAGAGGTGGTCTGAGGGGTAGGGCCTCTACCTTGTACAGTTTTCACATGGACTACAACCTCAGTCGTGCTCCCATGATTTGTTTTAAAGGGAGAGCTTAGGTGTGCTTTTCACTTTTTATTTTATATGTGTCTATATATTACCTACCTTATTATTTCATGAAGAGCTCTTATATAAGTCAGCTTAGCCCACTATTATAGTCACAATAAGCAGGCTTGGGGATATCGTTGGTCTTGAATGGCACAAAGCCAGCAGGACTTGAACACCCATCAGTCATAGAGGGATTGAAAGTACTTGTTAATTATACATGTCAGAATTGATTCAAGGGAATCAAGTGTCATGCAAAGACATGGTTTTTATAAAATTTGGAGAATTCTGTATCTGTCAGTTTACACTGTCTTTGCAGACTGTTCTGGTTTTAGATTGAATCATATAGGCAGTGCTTGACTTCTTCCATTCAGCACAGAGAATTCAGTGATTCACTATGATAAAATATTAACTAAATTTGTATTACTACTTGACTATTCTAAGTGCAGAACATTTATCATGTAAATACCATTTTTCTGAGTTTTGTTACTAAATATTTTATCTTACTGCCACATTGGGTAAAAATCTTGAATAGAAAATGAGTATAGTGTTATTAGTTAAGTCCATTCACATGTTGGGATAGAATATCAGCTAACTGTATTATACATCAAAGTTTAACAGCTTTTGCATAGTCCAGAAGAATTTAATAGTGGTTGAGGTTAATTTTGCCAGTGAAAGAAAAATGTTTGAAATTTAAATTATGCAGATAGCTGAATTCTTAAATTTGAATCCCTTAATTCTGTATGGAGTGTCATCCTGAGGCTTTTTATAATAGTCATGAAATTGAGTGGGTCTTTACTCAGATTATTTACATACAACTTTTTCTGTGCTCAGTGACATTTAAGTCTATTATGAGCAAAGTGCCATAAGCAACTTTCCTATTGTATTGATTAGATTTAATTCCAGAATAACATGTACTTCTGTCCTCTTCGTATGTTCTTATTAACTGTGAAATAAGCCATAATAAATCACAACAGTAACCTATCCCTTGTTTCACTGGATATTTTTGGCTGAATTTAATATTTTTCTTTTTAATTTTATTTTTTACCAGAAGTTCTGCTAATGAAAATTGGGTAAGTGGACACATATATGTCCTTTATCTTCAGTGATGGGATTCACAGATCTTTACTCTATAAACCACAACTTTGAAAAACTATTTATTATGATCTTAGAAAGTGTATGGATAGGAGAGATGCCAGAATTTCTAAAAATTATAACTAGAGAAATGAGGATGTGTGAAACTGTGGATTAGTTTACAGATGTGATGAGATTCAGACAAGGGTGTTGATGACACTCTCATAGCCAGAGCACACAGTGGCACAGACAATTCCTAGCTGATCGGTCACAGGAGTTGATGGAAGTGGTTTAGAGAACCACCGCTGACATGGGCATCCCTGATCTGCAGCCCAGCAGGCAGCACCAGCGGGACCAGAGAGGGCACGGGGAGGCGTGCAGGTCCATCAGTCCATCTCCGTCTGAGCTGGGCACAGTAGTGCTCATTTCCTGCAGCCCAGAAAAACAGGAGTTCCTGTTCCACCAAGTGTGCAGGTGTGTGTGAGTGCACTCAGCACACTTACTCTCTGTGCTGCCTGAATTTGAGAGTGCTTCTTCTGTTCTATGGTTTCTTTCATTTTTACTTTAAATGCTCTTATCACAAGTTAGTATCAAGTTGAGATTACTTAAGAGGGGAGCCTAGCTAAAGAGAGAGGGAAGACAGTGAGTAAGAGGCTGGCTAAGCCAGCACCTTGGAAGCCTGGACTGGAGAAATCTGAGGAGATGGCAAAGATCGAGTTCAGGAGAGTCCAAGCTAGCAGTTAAGCTCAGAAGTCCCACCTGGGGAAATGCTAATGAGTACCCTTCCCTTGAATTGCCTCCAACATTTTAGGTGGAGGGCTGCTAGGCAATGGCCTAGTGGGGTTTTGTTTCAACCCACTTGCAGAGAAGGCAGCCTGATTCCTCTCAGGAATGGAGAACTTCACTGGAGCCTGACTTCCTGCACCTTGTCAGTAGTAAACTACACATCTGCAGTGGTTCCGCCGCAGGGGGCTCTGGATGAGGTCAAGGACTCTGGGGCCAGACTTCTCTGTGGCCATGCCCCCCAGTAACCATGAAACCTTGGACCTGCCTTTTGATGGGCAAGCACCCTCTAACAAATCTGAAAATTTTGGAGAGGTTTCCAGGGTCATTTTGCTGTTTAGATGTCTGTTCTAGCGCCCTGTAGGCTGCATTTATAGTTCACAGGCTCAGGGACCTGATCTTGGGAACCCCCCCCTAAAACTCCAGGTGGAGAGGTCTCAAATTCCTGGCATCTCCATCTCCTCATGGGTGACCATCCCACCAACTAAATGAGCATGCTGTTCTCTACCTTCCCACCCAAACCACTCTCACTATCCCCTTTTGTGTTGCCCAGTGTCTGGCACACAGTAGGTGTTGAGTACATATTTATTCATGGAAGCTGCTCTTGCTCTTCTTTCACACTCATGAATTCCTGCGACCACCAGTGTTGACTGCTAACCAGTAGGAGGAATCCCAGCCATGCCAACTCAATAGCCCCCTTATCTATGGCTGATGCCTTAAGTCTCAGGTCTTGAAAGATGTGTCCATTGGATTAAAACTGTGTAATTTTGTTAATGCTTTTTTGCAGGGGTCTTGCCCCTCAGAATAAGCCAGAGCTGCAGAAAGTGATGGAAAAGAGGAAACGAGATCAAGTAATAAAACAGAAGGAAGAGGAGGCACAAAAGAAAAAATCTGACTTGGAAATAGAATTGTTGAAACGGCAGCAGAAGTTGGAACAGGTAAGGGTGATTTGGTGAAAGATACCTTTTTTGTTGTTGAGATATGTTTGACATTCATGTTATGTAAGCTCAGGGGCACAGTAGTGAATCGGCACAGTCATGGTGAATGTGTTTGCCACTGTAGCCTTAGCTGATGCCTATCCCTTGTTGCATGATTATCATTTCTTCCACTGTTGACAACAATAAAGATCTAGTCTCTTAGCAGGTTGAATGTTTTTAATAGTTGTATTGACTGTAATTACTGTCCTGTGTACTAGCTCCCTATGACTTACTTAACTACTAGTTGCAAGTATGTTGCCTTAAACAGTGCTCCCATTCCCCACCCCCACCCTTCAGGAGCCATCACTTTACTCTGTGCTCTTATAATTTTTAGGTCTTAAGATTTTTTTAGATTCCACATGTACAAGATATCATACAGTATTAGTCTTTCTCTGATTCTTCAAAAGTTGTCCTTTTTGTCCTGAGAAACAAGGATGTTGAAACAAGCAGAAGTTACCATATGTGTCAGATGTACAACTTTATAGCATGAAAGGAAAATACAAGACCAAATGTTAGCAAATGGGCTAATACACATTCAAAGTAAAGATAAGGATTCTGTTGAGGACTCAGAAGAGATTCAGGAGGCCAAGGCAAAACTGGGGAATATCACTGAATTCTCAGCAGTGTTGGGAGCTCAAGCAGTTGAGTGAAAGTCAACTTGAGTGAAGACCACAGGGCAGCTGCATGTTGCTCTCAGGATCTTGTTCTTTTAGCCTTGACTTTTAGGTTCTCATCATTTCTTGACATTGCTTGTAGTAACAACCAGTCGGCCACTACTCCTGTGCAGAGTCATCCCAGAACCTATATACATACATTCACATGTATGTATATTTAAAGTGGAGACCAGGAGAGAAATTCTTCTACAGCAAAATGAAGTCATTAGGGCTTTGGAAAGATAATTGTTTTGAAAAGCCTCTCAGTTTGTAAATAATTTTCCTATTTCTGAATTTCATTTAGCTTGAAGTTGAGAAGCAGAAATTGCAAGAAGAGCAAGAAAATGCCCCAGAATTTGTGAAGGTTAAAGGCAATCTCAGGAGAACAGGCCAAGAAGTGGTTCAAGCGCAGGAGTCGTAAACCCAGCCCATCACACCCAAGCTGTGCGCAGGTGCTTGCTTAGCAGTTCATCTCAGGGCAGGAAACCCCTGGAGAGAATCCCAGCCAGCAGAGAATTGCTACGTTAAAAAGGATTTGGTTTAGGTTTTCCTACAATCTAAGTGGATTAATTACCTGTGACAGTTGTAGTTCCTATTCGCTGAATGAGGATGTTGACCAGCACTTAAGTTGGGATCACAGACTGGTGTTCAAAGACTTAAAGAAAACCACAGTAACAAAGGAAGAGGACACTGGAAAAAATTTTTGAGAGTTGCACTGCTTAGCTTTTCTTCCAATCCAAGTTTAATGGGGCACAAAGCTTTTTTTCTTTTAAAACTTAAATAAAATATGTTTTGTTCTTCCTTTAGTTATGTTAGATAATTTAGATCACATAGAAATAAATGCATTTGATCTGTTACTTCCAATATTTGTAGATTCTGTTCTCAGAATCTGAAATTTCCTTCTTCATACTTTCACCCAAGTTAGAATTAACACCTGAGTTAATGTTGATATTTAGCACAGCTACTTCGTTAGCATGAAGATTCAGAAACAGAGTGAGAAGGTTTAAAAATACGTTAAAAAATATATGTAAACATCCATCTTGATCTTATTTTAGCTCCTTATGGTTCTCCAATGCTAGCATGCACCATGGTAACATTGTAGTTCAGAGAAGGCACATCATATCAATTCATTTATTACTTTGATAACTATTAGGGTTTTTGTTTTGTTTTTCAAACAAGCTAAACTAGTCCTTTATACAAAATAATTACTCTATCGTTCAGAGAATAAATGCTATCCATATATGACAAACTTCCTTTTCAGAATTAAAGGTCCAAATCATTTGATTTCTTCCGAGAGCAGTGTGGGGAAAGCTCTGATTGGGAGCTAGGCAAGGAGTTCTTTGGGTATTTTAATGTGAAACAAATATAGATTGGTCTGAAGGAGACCTGGCTGGAAGATTTATAGCATTTGTACATTGTGAATATTATTAGAATCCAAGCTTTGAAGATTTCTGATTAATGATTACATATTTCTTTGCCTTTGTTTTTCTTGTGAAGAGAGACTGTTTCTCCACTGTCTTGGTGATGATGGTGCCGTTGGCGATGGTGACGCTGATGACTCCTGGGCTGTGTCTCAGGAACAGCTGAAGCGAAGGGAGGGGCTGCTCAGTGTCTGCATGCTGGTTGGCGTGCACTTCTACGTGAAGTTTGAATTATGAATAACAGCAAAATTCTTACCCAAAATCTATTTTATACTGCTGGGATAGGTGGGGGTACATTCTACTTGAGTGACTCTGGAAGAATTTGTGTGGGTTATATTCTCCAGGGAGACAATTCAGCCAGTCATTTCTATATTACAGACTTCCTACACTTCCACTAAAGGCTAATAGAGAACTGGATCCCAAACTTTTAGATCCTTAATAAACATAGTAGAAATCAGCTTTCTATGGGAATGCTGTAGTTTTCATAGTTGACAGGCTCACATTTCATCCTAATGTGCACAAGATCAAAGTAAATGCAAAGATAACATACTACTAGTTAGACATGTCGATTACACCTGAAATGGATTACTTCTTTCATCAGTAAGTATTATTTGAATAAGATATGGATGCTTACAGTAAAATGATACTCTATAATAGTCTGCCTTTGAAGGATGGAATGGTAACTATTTTGTTCCATGATTCTTCCTTTTGAAGAAAGCGTGTTAACTGATCATCTTGAAAGTACATATCTGATTACACATTGACTAGAGTTCTTTCTTTGTGTATATGTACTAATGATGTGACTTGTAAAGTGAAGATTCAGGACTGGCTCATAGCCTTTTACCTAACCTGATGGTAAATCTTAAATCCTATGTCCTTGAAGCAACTGCCACTTGGTAGAATTCCCAAGGGCCCTGACAGGTTCCTTTAGAAGGACCAATTCTGCTCCTAGAACTTAACTAGAATTTATTCTTCACTGGGAAAAAAAGTAAATGACAAAAGCATTTCCCTCCCAATCTCACTCACAAATCTGCAAAATTAATGTGTAGTTAGTAGTACAAGGTCTGGCCAGAAGAAGACATGTAAATGGTATGAGGTGATGTCTTACAGCCAGACAGTGGGATGTACAGGTAGTGAGGCTCTTAAGGGTTCATAAGCCTGAGTTTCAAAAGGCATCAGTCTCCCCAACACTTTAATACTGTGCAGTCCAAACCCCTAGGACTCATGAATTTCTGAGCAATTTTGTGCTTTGAGCTACTTTTTGACAAAAATGGCTACATTTTTCCACTCTGATTTTCTTAAAATAGTTCAGTGTTTTATAGTCTCTTGGTAGTAAAGTAGTGTTGCTTTCTAAGCTATAACAGTTGACTTTATTCTTCTACTCTGAAAAATCTTGACTTGTGTGAGTGTATATAATATATATAAAGGGAGCCTTAATGGATTTGTTTTCATAATTTAATATTTTTTGTATTTGCTCTTGTATAATTGTTTTTAATGGAAAGTATTACAGAATTGAGGGTGGAATTCCTAGAACCAAAGTTATTCTTAATAAAAATCACCACATGCTTGGACCTTGCAGCTGTGTTTGTCTGATCTGTTTGGGTTGTGGATGTGTAGACCTGAAGGTGGGGCCCTGTGTCCCGTTCACAGATTGGCTCTAGGGTATCTCCTTGGTGACTGTCCTCTCTAACAGCTTTCCCCCCAAATTGGTTACATCCTCTGCCTTGTGTCAGTCAAGGCTGACAACTCATGATGTCAAACAAATTTGCCCTAAGATGATATGCTACTTTTGGTCTAGAATATATGGTATTTTAGCAGCAGCTGTGCTTTGGGTCAAGGCATTCTGAATTTTAATTAGCTTGGTAGGATAGCGGGAAATAGATTTGGGGAAGAGCCTAAGGGTTTAGTGCTTGGGGCTAGTACATACCGCATGTCTGAAGTGTGACCATGAAATTACTTTGCTTACTCAGCTAAATCAGTGTCATCCTCAGAGAAGTTACTTTGGAAAGCTATACACATGGTTGCATTCTTCTATTGGTTAATAGTTTGGAGGTTCCTATCTCTTTATGCTTTATTTTCCAACCCCAAATTATTACTCAGTTTGCTTACCCAACTCCTGGTGTCTCTGGACTCTTGAAAATTGTATCTACTCAGGGCAGTGAAGATTTCATACTGCTAAGATTATACCATGAGCTCTAAAGGTCAGTGCAGAAGATGGGTTCCAAAACTGATTTGAACAGTAGCTGCATCCTTCAAGTAACCAAGCAGTTTCCCATGGTAACAGTGTTGGCAAAGGAGCTAGCCAAAGATTGGAAGATGACTTCTGGCCCTTCATGAAGGCCTGTGGAAGCTGTCTGGAGGCTGGCTTAGGGGAGGACCTGAAGCAGAGAACAGGCGGTGGCGGCATCTTTCCCCACACCACTATTGAAGCTTGAGGTGCACTCACGTGGGTACCTCCCTGGTCTTTTACCCACAGTTATTCATTCAAGAGTTTCCAGGAAATGATTGCACATCTCTGGACCTAATAGCCACCCTAAGATTTTCACAAAGAGAAAATCAAACAAGCTGCTGTAAATAGGCTTTATTTGATGGGCTGGTGCTGTGTTATGTGGAGTGGATTGGCCCAGTTTGTGCTCTTTCTTTTCCATTCTTCCTTCCTTCCTTTCAGTGTTTCTCAAAGATAAGCAACCAGACCAATCAGTTAAAATTTATAACTGAGTATGTTTAGGAGGAATTTTGCTAGGAGTTGGTTCCAGCCCTTCAGGTGTTTATACTCTTGTTCAGAGATAAGACATTGTATAAAATGTAATAATAAGCGTTAAATAAGATGCCACATCGACACCTACAATTACGATGAGCCATGGGAGCAAATTAAGGAAAGAAATACAAGAGATCAAATGTCTTTATTGCTGTGTAGGTAGCTCACATAAATGTTCTGAGAGAAGCAGTGGAATTTAACAGTTTTAAGTGATGTTATATAAATTAGTCTTATTTATCCTTGATCTTCCTCTCTGCTTCACAGACTATTCTTCAGACAATAGGACTGGACAGTTTGAAACCCCAGCTTCTTATGAGTATGTGCAGTGGAAGATAGCCTGTGGAGAGGAGGGGATGGCAGATAAGCCACAGCCTCCCAGTGCATGACAGGAGCCTTGTCAGGTAACATCTGTCACTGTTCATTTCCAAAGAACTTCCTGAGGAGCTTAAGGTTAGTTCTGTGTGTGAATTTAGATTTGCTCCTAGTGTGAAGTCGGAAGAGCTGTGTGGTTTGCTTCACACATTCTACCAACTGAGTGGCAGGCTGTCCCTGTGTACCTGTAATGGGGTTCCGGGGAAGCATGCATCTCATGTCCAGGCTGTTTGTGCATTTTTATCACACTGTTCAGCATTGGGGATATGATGATGTGCAAAATCACATTCAAACCCTGCTTTTGGGGGCTTAAAATCTATGGAGACAAATAAAACAGTCACACAAAAGAGTGGAAAATGACAGCTGCTGTAAGTGCTACAAAATCCCCAAAAGGCAGGAGCCCAGGCAGTGAGAGTGACTTGAATCCACAGGGCAAGTGATGGCAGCAAATCCAGCCTCTCAGAAGCTGCTAGACAGAAAAATCACAGACATGTCTGACCAGTACCAGATTGAGTGCACATAATTGCCTGTTTCCTTCCACATTTAATTTTTCAGGCCCGGGGATTTAATCTATAATTGACACTTGGATGATGCCAAATGTAGGCTATTTTCTCTTACTGATATTTTTAATAAAAAAAAAGTAAGTCCCTTTTATTCACCTTCTCAACTCATTAAGTCTCCCTCCCTCTCTTGCTGACTCTTCCTCCATATGTGTGACTCTAGGACCATGCTGCCCACAGAATCAACATGCAGGGCCAGGGCAACCCTCCCTCTGTATAATATCTTCTACTACGTGGTAGGATTTAAAGCCGTAAGCTGCGTGCCTCCAAATTCCTGTTCTGAAAGCCTAGAGTGCTCCTTTAAAGTCCCAGCCACAGTTTAGATCTGTTCAAGTTCCAGGGTGCCATGTGTTAACTGGGGAGGTGCAACACATACACCCTTTACTGGATCCCTTGATGCCTTCTCAAGCACTGGGAACAGCCAGGACAGTTCCTTCTGGTGTGGGAAGGGAAGAGATGAGGCCAGCCATGAGCAGGCAAGGCAGGAGCCCTGAGGAATCTAGGGCAGATTGCATGGGGGTAGATGCATGTGGGGGCTGGTGGTTGGTGTTTGGGGCATAATGTCTGGCACTGAGTAGGTGCTTAGTAAATATTTGCCATTAAGTGATGGATTCGGGAAAGAAGGAGTTACAGCACTGGCAGGCATGGGCTGTCGCCAGTGTGCTCAGAGCTGGTTCAGGATGGTAGCCAGTGGGTGTTGCTGGACTGTTCTAAGGCCTAGGGGAAGCCTGTGTTCCTGCCACATCTTCCTAATTCAGAAGAACCCTAATTTAGAGGCTTCTAAGAGTCAAGGCTTCACTGGGGCTTCTCCAGTGAAAGCAAAGTTCCACACCTGCTCTGGCAATAGGAAGGTTGGTGACACTAGGCTTCTGCAATTTGGAATTTGAACCTTTCTGCTAGGATATTTTAATCTATAGTACAAGTTGTGAAGCTGAAATAAATAAACTCAAGCCCTAGCTTAGGACCTGGTCTGTACTGACTGTGAAGGGACAGTGGCAGCCGTTATGGGCCTGGAAAAGATGCAAGATGCTGCCATCTAGTGTGCATCTGCAGAACTTTAAAATTTTAAATTAGAATGTAATTCATTAATTGATTTATTACCACTCTTATTATTTGCTCTGTTGAACTTGGAATTTTTTTCAGAACCTTCACCTTCCAGTCTGAGGTGAACTAATGTAACCAAACTCCTAAGCTTGATATGGTGGTTTCTGTACAAGGAATAAAGTGGCTTTTCTAGTCCCAGCACTGCCTCTTGCTGTGGGTTGGGGGAAAGGTCACTGAGCCTCCTGATGTTTAGTTTTCCTCGTCTGTAAATGGGCTAACCATCCTTTGTCTGTGTTGTGAGAATCACGGTTTCAGCCATTCATTCATTCTAGCAATACATAGTGCAAGGCAGTCGCATGCCAGCACTGGATCCCCAGGTGAGAAAGAAGGCAGGGTGCTGCCATTGGCAGCTGGCGTGCTGTGAAGGAGACAGACACACACGAAGTAACAGCCATAAAACCATTTCTCACCTTGACTGATAGAAGGCTACCTGTCTCCACTCTACTCTTCCAACTTTGTCCTTTTGTAATAATACTTCTCTTCTGAAATAAACCTGAGCATCTTACCATCTTGCTCAGAAGTCTCTCTTGTCAACACAGTCCCCCCATAACCTGCGAGAGACGTCCTAAGAGCCCCAGTGGCTGCCTGAAACCACAGACAGTACCTAGCCCTGTATATACTGTGGTTTTTATATGCTATATATGTACCGATGGCGAAGTGTAACTCATAAATGAGGCACAGTAAGAAATGAACAATAACTATAACAAGACAGAACAATGAAAACAGTGTACTGTGATGAAAGTGATAATGTGGTCTCTCCCCCTAATTATGCTAGCAAAGTACTTCCCTCACCGTGCTTTCTCTTGTCATGATGTGAGATGATAAAATGCCCGCATGGTGAGATGAGGCGAGTTGAAGGATGTAGGCACTGTGGTGTAGTGTTAGGCTACTACTGACATTCTGACACTGTGTCCAGAGGAGTATCTGCTTTCAGATGGCAGTTGACCATAAGTAACCAAAACCATGAAAAGCAAACCTGTGGATGGGTTTGCTTTATTATACAGGGGGGGACCATCATATGATAAAGTCTCATTTCTCTATCATGGAGGCCAATCGAATTGGCCAGCTTCATCAGGCTATTTATCGTTTTCTGAAATAACAGGCGGTAACTTTGCCAGGTACTCTGCCAAGTGTCTTATCTGTTAATCTTCACACAGCCCTTTTATTACCCTCTTGTTTACCTATAGGGACACTGAGGCAGATAGAAGCAAAAGAATATGGGCAAGGTTGCATAGTTAGTAAACAGCAGCAGTGGGACTCAGCTCAGCTCCACCTGACGGCAGAGCCACGCCTTTGGCCACTGTGCGGTTCTGCCTCACTGACCCCTGCTTCTGCACCTCGGCTGCTGTGCTTGCCTTGCTATTGCCACTTGTTGAAATCTCACCAGTTGCTCATGGCCCATCTCAAATATTTTGACCACCAGGCTGTTCCTAACACCCACACGCTGCTATCCCCAGTGCTAGAAGAGTCACTGCATGTATCATGCCCTGCATGCATGATAAAGGTTGTACATTTTGTCCCCCTCTGTACGTTGTAAGCATCTTGTAAACATTTACAACAGTGTCTGAACTAAATGAAAGTTTGCTGAATTATAATAACTGAACAACATAGGAAAAGTGCTCTGTAAACTGTAAAATATCATAACAACATAAGTCATCAGATGCTTTAAAAATTTTTTTTATGAAATGTAAACAGATTTAGAATATGAAATATCCATTTGTGCCTGAGCCTTCCCTTCTTTGATTTTGGTCCACTTTCCATACCATGCAAACTCAGACCTCC